TCATTTTTCCGAGTTCGAAACAATGATTGGGGCACTTGACGCCGAAAATATAGAATATTTTCTTCTTGGGGACATAAATGTTGATTTCACACCGACGGCTAACTCCTCGTGTAAAAGCACATTAACCGAATTATTTGATATCTATGGCCTACATCAGTTGCTTGAAGAACCAACACGAATTACCGAGAAATCTACCACTATGATTGACCTCTGCCTAACAAACTCATTATCAACAACTGTTGATTCTGGTGTAATTCATCTTTCAATTAGTGACCACTCGATGGTCTATATTATACGCAAAGCACATTATGTACAGACTGGGACAAGAAACATAGAAACTAGATCAATGAAAACGTTTAATAGAGATAGTTTTCTAAGCGAACTGGGACAACAACCTTGGGGAAATGTCCACCACTATGAAAACCCAAATGTAATGTGGGCAACATGGAAAGATTTATTAATGAATGTAATTGACAGGCATGCACCACTTAGGACCAGGCGAGTCAGCAGTAAGCGATCCCCCTGGGTAACCAATGAATTAAGACATTTAGTTTTCAATCGTGATTTCTTAAAAAAGAGAGCCATCTCTTCTAAAGATTCACAAAAATGGTCTCAATATAGACATGCAAGAAATCAGGTCAACAATGAAATCAAAAAAGCAAAGCGACTTTACTTTACCAAAAATCTTGATAAACATAAAGGAGATATGAAAAAAACATGGAAGTTAATTAATGAAATAAATTCGCGAAACTGTACGAAAATAAAAAGAATTTCGGAAATTAAAATAGGCGCGAGCAAGTTAAAATAGGCGCGGCAGATGTGATTGCGCCTTCTTTAACAGAGATATTTACTAAATCTATTCATACTGGAATATTTCCAGATGAATGGAAGGAAGCAAGGGTGTCGCCAGTGTATAAGAACGGTGCAAAGCATGATCCGAGCAATTATAGGCCTATATCGGTGATTCCAACGGTTTCAAAGATTTTTGAGAAAATTATCTTTGACCAACTTAATAAATATTTTAACGACAACAATCTGTTGACCACCTGTCAATCTGGATTTCGGTCATTGCATAGTACAGTAACAGCGTTGCTGGAGGCTACAAATAGCTGGTCTGTTAATATAGATAATGGTCTAATTAATGGGGTTGTTTTCATTGATCTGAAAAAAGCCTTTGATACTATTGATCATCAGATAATTTTACAGAAATTAGAACATTGTGGTATCGACCATAATAGTTTAAAATGGTTCGAATCATATCTTACTGGCAGAACACAAAAATGCAAAGTTAATGATCGGCTATCAGGTTCGACGTCAGTAACGTGCGGAATCCCACAAGGGAGTAATTTGGGTCCGTTACTGTTCCTTATCTATATTAACGATCTGCCAAATTGTATTGCCTCCACCACGCCACTCCTAGAATGTTTGCAGACGATACGAATGTAAGCTTTGCAGCTGATTCTCTGGAAGAGCTCCAAAGTGTCATTAATTCTGAATTATAGAACGTCTTAAAAGCTGGCTTATTACAAATAAACTCAGTTTAAATATTGCAAAAACAGAGTTTATGACTATTGGATCTCGACAGAGAATCAATGCTACTCAAGGTAGTATAACCATTAAGCTTGATGATAGTGAAATCAGCAAAGTCGATACTGTTAAATCCTTAGGAGTACATATTGACAAACACCTTTCTTGGTCAACCCATATAGAGAAAATAACTAAGAAAATTGCTTCAGCCATTGGTGCATTAAAACGTATTAGACCATTTGTAAGTACGAGAACAGCTGTTCAGGTTTATCAAGCCTTGATACAACCTCATTTTGACTACTGCTGCTCGGTCTGGGACGCTTTTGGAGAAACTCTCAGTAATAAAATAGAGAAACTACAGAACCGAGCAGTAAGATTCATTACGAGGTCGCACTATGATACAAGCGCTAGTTCTCTTTTGAATAATCTGCACCTAGATAATCTTTGTTTACGACGCAAAAAGATTAAGGCTGGAATTATGTTTAAAATAATCAATGGTGATGCACCATCTTACCTACAAAATCTATTCTCTGTTCGCGGCAGTGGGTATAACTTAAGAGACTCTGAAATAAAGCTAAATTTACCTAAGCCACGAACTAACTATTTAAAACGAAGCCTTTGTTATAGTGGAGCCTTATTGTGGAATAACCTGCCTCAAAATATACAAATGCTTCGTTCGTTACCACTATTTAAGAATTCCTTAAATTATTACTATAATTTGTAAAATGACTCCCACACGGCAATCTTGGAAATCAGTTGTAATTATTTTTTTTATATTTAATTAATGTACTGAAGATTTTACCGTGTTAAAATAAAGTTTTATTGTACTGTATTGTATAATCGTGTGGCGTCATCGATCCGTGTCGTTGAACAATGAAAAAAATTGTTGTGAAATTAGCGAAGATAAAATAGCATTTTGTGGGAAAACTTACGGCGCGGGAAGTTTTCGGATTCGAACTCAGCGTGCTTGAAAGTGTCAGTTCCCGTAAAATATTTCAATTCCAAGACATGCTTAATGAAAGTGAACGATATCAGGACGCAGCAAACGGCCTAGTCAGGTTCGACAAGCTGACACACTGTTCTTTAATCTTTGATACATTTTATTCATGTTGTTGACCAATGACCATTCTGAGCAACCGGAGACAGTTGCTGGTAAATGGGAGATTCACGAAGAGTGGTGTCAACCACAAATTAAACGGTTTCATTAGACACTGCAAAGTCATTATTGATTGGAAATACGAGCGGGCCAAGCTTAGTTCCCTGTGGGACCCCGGCGTTTATATACTTCCACTCTGAAAAGAAGTGATCAACACGGGTTCTCTGTTGTCTATCTGTTTGGAAATTCGCAATCCAGTTGAGCAATACAGGATGAACCCCCATGTATTTCAATTTTGTTCAACAGAATACTATGATCTATTCGGTCGAAGGCTTTGGAAAAGTCGAGTAAGCAGATCCGTATAGCATTACCGGAGTTCGTCAACCGCTTCATACCACTTGTGTGGCCGATAGACAAGTGCCATGTTAGTGCCCTTAAGGAACCAAATTGCAAGGGGTGAATTGAAATCAGACTACTGAGTCAAAATATTATGCTATAATATTTTGACCGCGCGCTTTCCTACAAAGAGTGTTGACTTCTTCAGTAGAATCTAAACACCAGTCGTTGCCAACAGCCCATGCCGCCTGCCGTTATGAATTAAAGTTTTTATTTCGAAGGTAATCCAAGTTTTATCACTGGAATGGACTTTGATTCGCTTCCGGTGTAAGCGTTCGGAAATTATATTAGTTATAATGTCCGTCACAAACTGTTCGTCACAAAATTCCATATGGTACACAGTTAGCCAATTGACTTTGGGCAGATGTTCGCCAACGGTTCGTCGGCTCATCGGGCGCGACTCTCTAACCAGACGTACAGATCGCGAACCAGAAAACGAGTTAACCTGAAAGGCTTTAAATTATTAATTACATTTATTTAATGTGAGTGCCGTTGTTCAAAGTCCATCGGCTTGGTTCAGGATACTATTGCATTCCGTAGCTCAAAACAAATTTCTTGAATATTTTGCTCTTTTCCTTTGGAAACATGACCAGGAAAATCCAAAATAATGAAAATAATGATTAGAAGTTTGTTGAATGTTACAAATTAAACAGTGTATGAACGCACGCATCATATACTCTATCAAGATCTGATGGTCTGGAAACTTAGCAGAGGCCATTGTGTTATCTTTTTTCTGAGTTACTTAATGTTAATTTGTGCACGGTCACGGTGATTGACGGATCAAAATCAAGCAAAGGCTTCTATTTTGTAGCTTTGAAGTTCACCGGGCTTCCGGGACATCATGTCTAATTGACAGTCCGGGTCTTTCTTTACCACGTACGAATACTCTGAATAGTTATTTTTTGGATTGTCTGACTGAGTTCAATTAAATGCCGCATTTACTCTTCTCCAGCATTCCGATAGCTCGCCAACTTGATCTTGTGGACAATTTTTTAGTAATGTGGAAGTGACTATATATACCGCCCTTTTCATGAGCCTCCGAAATTCCCACACACTGAGTGCTCCTTCGTACCCATGCGTCGACAATTATATCTGCAAATTCTGCTCTAGAAAGATTTGAAATGTCACATTGACTATTGGTGATTATAAATCAAACGTTCTTTACCTTCGGAGTACCCGAATTTGCAGTTGACTCAGCCCTTACCCGCATGCGAAAGTATAACCGGATGTTATATTACTATGCTATAAATTAACAGTGTTTGTGACATATCTAGCGTAAAACATTTGCGATATCTATCTTTGTTGACGGACTATAACCTCTCAAGTAACCTACCTGTGCTATGCCGAAATTGGTAGAAACATTAAGAATGCTATATGACATAAAAAATTATATTCATAATCTGTTAATTATTAACTTTGACAATTTTAATGAAACTTAATTGTTCTATAATGTTATATTAGATCTTCTGTGAACGAAATGGAGCTGAAATACTTCGTTCGCAGACCATTCTATCCCCTGTACTTTTGAGACGTACAATGATGTTATGGCATATGGGGCCCAGACAATCACTGTCAGAAGTTGTTGGGACACATGTAGTTTTAGATTGTAAGTGGATCATTAGAGTTTTTTACACACAATACCGCTGCCCTCCCCCTCCCCCCCCTCCCCAATCAATGTTGTTTAAACCAAAACACATCAAACCCGACACGAAATGGGACACAACATTGAACAGGGGGCGGGGGGGATTGTCGTTTGTTGAAATTCAAAGGTTTTGTGGCATCTATCCCAAGACTTTTGAAACTGATTGTAGGTCATTAGGTAGCGGTCATTAATTATTGGGCCGGTAAATAGACGATTCCAAGTAGACTAAATTTTGATCTAGGCAAGAAGAACAAAATTCATCAGCACGGCTAGAACGAACATGCTAAAAATGTGTTGGGCGTTTAGTTGCTGCACAAGTTTCAGATAATTTGCTTCAGTTTTTTGAGTTAAAGGAACTATTCACGCAAACTTACATTTTTTCCTAAAAAAGTCCTTTTGTATGCTTAATTAATTAATGCCTTTGCCTAATTTGCATATTGCAGCAATATGCAAATTGTAAAGGCATTAATTAAGCATGAAAAAGGCTGATTTTTATGAAAAAATGAGTATTCAAATGGCTGAAACTAAAGCAAATTGTCTGAAATTTTGTACAATATTTTTAAAACCCAACAAATTTTCTATCTATTAACTCAAAATTCGATTAATTAATTAAAGCTTTTACATTTCCTGCGCAAACTATTTTTGGTTTGTTGGAAAAGAAACACCTCCTGGTTTACACAATTTGAGTTCGAGTATTTTTCATTTTTTTTTGTTTAAACATATTTTGTTACAGACATTTTCTCCAATCATCAAGGGAGATTGTGTCGAATTATTTACAAAGTTACTTGCAACAAAACAAAGAGGATTACATAAAAAAGGATTGCATCAAAACAAAGATCGAATAATCATAGTGTGGAAGAACATCTGGTATTCATTCTCAAGCTTTCCATCAAACATATTATTATAAGAAATTTATATGGAAGAATTTACCACACCAATGTTTTACAAAACAAGTTTAAAAAAATGTTACTCGGCCTGAAACCGCTTTCTATTTAGAATAAATGATTGGACATTTTGCATTAATTTTACATTATCTTCATGCCCAAGATTTTCGGATCCATGCAAAAGTATTTCAATTTTTCCGATTCTATGATAAATTCATCCACAAAGGATGAAGCAGCCGCGCGGGAAGTGAGAGCAATTGTTCACGTTGGGCAGCAAATCGAGAACAATATAAAAAGTAATGTTTGACAGTTAATTTCCATTTCACCCCATCGACATTCACAAAAAGGGGAATTTGCACAATTAATTCTATATAGGTAAAAATTAAGCGCACAGTGATCAAGCCTGAGCCTGGTATGCAGTATTCAGCTATACCTACTTAGCGATGCATTGTATTTTACGTTATATTTTTGTCCACAATACATATTACACAAGGTAATTTTAAAGGAAGACAGCGTTTCTATATTTCGTAAATCCGGATCAAGATCATTCCAAGCAGTTATTGCCGATGGAAAGAAAGATTTTTTAAATCGTTCAGTTCTCACAAATATATTAGTTAAATTATCGTTAGATCTTAGAAAGTAACTGAATCTTTGGTTTACATATGGAGGCAAGAGACCACAAAGGTAGGATGGTGCAGTGTGGGTAACAATTTTATAAAAAAGGATAGTTTATGAATATATCTCCTAGCTTTTAAATCCTCCCAACATAGTTCTTCCAATAGACGATTTCTATTTGTTCCCCTTATTGCACCAGTAACAATGCGAGCTGATTCAAACTGGGCTGCTTCTAAAAGATTTGCTTCCTCTATACTACATCCAACCCATATTAGATGTGCATATTCCATTAAATGTCTAATCAGACTTTTATATAAGCATATCAGTGTTGACCTA